GAAGAAGCAGGCTCGAACACTGTCAATGATGGTGGGGTTGATGAGCTACAGTTTCAGCTTGACCTGATGGAGAATTTTTGATGCTGAAGATCAAATCCAGAGACTTGTCCATGCTTGGCATATAGGCTTAGCCACATCCTCAGCCCTTGTTTGATTTAGAATCTCCTATAACCCAGGTTGGCTTTGAACTGATGACCCTTCCCGCTTCTACCACATGAGTACTAGATTACAAGTATGTACCATCATGCCCAGTACAATGTTTTTAAATGTAGTATATGTTATCGTCAAATGATTAACATGTCTACTGTTAATTCTGGGCACTAGGGAATGTTAGGGAGAAAGTAAAACAGGGTAAGGACAGTATGGCCATGACATGGTAAACGGAGCACTGGGGATGGAGAAAATGGTTGAGGCCTCAACAGTAAGATAGTCTTGCATAGAGACTTGAAATGAGCAAGTGAGATATACAGCTATATGGGTGGGCAGGTGGGGAGGAGTCTAGACAGTAAGACATAGCGGAATAGAAAGTCCCTTAAACTGGAGGACCCTGGGCAATTTTGAAAATTTATAAAAAGGCAAGGATGGCTTGAGCAGGATGGATTGGGAAAGACTGGTAAGTAAGAACCCAGAAAGTATGAGGAAGCTGAGTCACAAAGGCCTGGTAGGCCGTTAACAGGACTCTGGCTTTTGTTCAGTTTAGGATGAGGAGTGACATTAACTTAGGTTCATGAGTGACTGAAAAGTTTAGCAACTGTAATCTCATTTTTTCTTTAGGCATAAATCCTCTGGAGCTTCACATCTAGAGCTTCACATCCTGTGAGAATTCTGAGTGCTTGTGAGAAAACTCTAAGACAAGAATCTTGTAACCTTATAGAGGAATTTGAATCCAGCAACATGGCTGCTCTGGCAAGGGATCCCATCCAAAGATCTTCTAAGTCTCCAGGAACCAGCCAGAACACAGACAAACCCTGGATTACAGTATAGCCGGTCTGGAATACAGACAAACCCTTAGTACACACCGCTAATCCCTAACAATGAAGGTAAGGCTAGTTTGTAGAAAGAAGCGGCCTTGTTTGAAAGTGATGTCTAATTAAGGGACAATGTGACAAATCAGAGAAAGATTTGACAGAATGAGTCAGATGGGATACACTCAACTCACATGAGAACAGCACAGGAGAGGCTATGAGAGAGGCAGAGAAACACAGACACAGAGAGACTGAGACAGGGAGACAGAGACAGAAAGATGTGTGTGGTGATTTTACCAGGACAGTTCTACAGAAGCAGGCTAGACAGAGGCAATGAAAGGAGCCAGAAAATTAGAACATGTTGCCAAAGTTAAGTATGAGGCCAAGCAGAGCAATTCAGTCAGAAGTCAAGAAGATTGAATCAGTCGGCTTGGACGATTAGATTGTACACAGGCTAGAACCTTCCAGGCCTTCGCCTAGGGATAGTTAGACAGACACTCTGGGCTCAGCCCAAGCCCTGCACTCCCACAGCTTGGCTATGGCTCTCATCTCATCCCTTAATCTGAGGAAATGAGTGACATTCACCGGACCTCAGTTTCCTCATAACCACTCAACTAGAGTATGCTTATGTGTCCCTCCCAGGTGTATAGTGTGAATTTACTTCGGGTTATTCATTGCAACTGGCTGTTGGTATTTGTTGATAAGTCTCTATGGGAAAAACACGTTTTCTTACATGGGGCTTGCCCATCATATTTGGCTTGCCCTTGTGACCGTCACTTTGCTCATGTGTCTCCTCTTACTCTTCATAGTACGATGTCCAAAGATCTGAATAAAGTTGTCTATTGCATGAGGTGTTAGTCTGCCTCATTTTTCAGCTCTGTTCCAGGCTCCACCACTTCTAGACCAGTAAACACACACACACATCCATAAATTCACAATGTGCTACAAAATCCATGGAACGAAATGCAAGAATGAAATGGAGAAAATGCAAAGGTAAGCTTTTACACCATTTATTAGAACAAATGCCACCGTTTGTTCTAACATCTAAATAAGTGGTTCTCAACCTTCTTAATGCTGCAACCTTTTAATACAGTTCCCACGTTGTGGTGACTCTCAACCATGAAATTAGTTCATAACTGTAACTTTGCTACTGTATGAAACTAGCTAGAACCATAATGTAAATATCTAATATGCAGGATATATGATATCCAACCCCAAAGGAGTTGCAACCCACAAGTTGAGAACCCCCTATCCTAAAACTTCCTTCAGGTGGATTTTTTTGTAGCCCCAGATCTTTACATTGTACCCTGGTAAGTAGCATGATATGCTATCGTGAATGTACTTCAAAAAAAAAAAAGGGGGGGGGGAAGAGAGAACATGAGAGGAGAGCTGTCAAAAACTAGACTGAAGAGCTAGCTCAGTTAAGCGACATGCTTGCTTCAGACATGAGGACCTGGGTTTGATTATCAGATCCACATAAAAAAGGTAAATCATGTGTGTGCCATGCTGCTGGAAAGACAGGAAGATCATTGGGACTTATTGGCCAGCCAGGCTAGCCTAACTGGTGAACTCTAGGGCAGTGAGATACTCTGTCTCAAAAGAGAAGTATAGCTCTCCTGAAGATAACATCTGAAGTTGTCTTCTGCCCACATGAACACACATACATGAATGCCTCCACACACAAACACACAAACATGAACATACATGCATTAAAAAAAGTTGTCAAAAGCCCCAGACATAGTGGTACATGCCTTTAATCCTAGCACTCAGGAGGCAAGTGGATCCCTGTGAGCCCCAGGCCAGCCTGGTCTACATAACAAGTTCAAAGCCATCCTGAGTAACATGATGAGATGTCTCTTTTTTTTATCTTTTTCTTCTTCTTTTTTTTTTTTTTTTTTTTTTTTTTTTGAGACAGGGTTTCTCTGTGTAGCCCTGGCTATCTTGGAACTCACTCTGTAGACCAGGCTGGCCTCGAACTCAGAAATCCGCCTGCCTCTGCCTCCCAAGTGCTGGGATTAAAGGCGTGCGCCACCACTACCTGGCCGAGATGTCTCAAAATGAAATGTTGTCTCAAAAAATAAGTTGTCAGAAATTAGTCATTATTGAAATTAGGTTATGAGTTTACAGTTGTTAACTGTACCAGTCTTGGTTTTATAGATGCTTGGTTTTTTTTCTAGTAAGTTTAAAAACATCCATTTGATAACACTGGAGTTTAAAATGCTATTCTAGTTTGCTTTTCTGTTGCTGTGGTAAGTACTGTGCCCAAAGCAAGCTGGAGGAGAAAAGGGTTTATTTCACTTTACAATTCTATCACAGGTCACAATCTATCACCGAGGAAAGTCTGGACAGTAAAAACCCAAGAACTGAAGCAGACATCATAGAAGAATGCTACTTACAAGCTCACACCCAAATTCACAATCAGCCACCTTTCTTGTATAGTACAGGCCCACCTGCCTAGGTTAACTATCATGGACAACTTTTCCTTTTCCTGCCAAACACCCCCAATAGCTAGCCTGAGCTGAGTATCCCCAATCATCATTCAGGAAGTAGCAAGACCAACACAGCACAATTAAACCCACTACCATTAGAAAGAAGTACCATGCCTCAGAAAAATCCTATCATCTGCACCACTCACCTCACTGTTGCCTGAACCTGCTACATAAACCAGGCTGACCTCACAGTCCACCTGTCTCTGTGTGAGTGCTAGGAAAAAAGACGTGAGCCACCCACCACGCAAAGTATTTTCTCATTAATACTATACATACTACCCATTTCCCTTATGAAAAATGGATATTTTTCTACTTCCTATGTCCCTACTCCCTTTTCCTTCTAGGTTCTAAATACAGTGTTATTTTTATCATAATGAATGAGAAGTCATCAATGTAGAATTTGGTGTGGTCTGAGGGAGATGTCCTCTCTGGAGTATTGTTTGAATGCTTGATCCCCTAGGTGGTGGTGCTGATTAGGGAGGAGGTAATGGAACCCTTTAGAAGTGAGGCCTAGCTGCAAGACCAGGGCCAGGACTTAAAAGGTTATTAGAGTTCCGCCTCCATACCAGCCTAGTGTTGACTCCTGATATACCAAGACGGAGGATGTGGTAGCTTTAGGTAGCTGCTAGGCTTCCCCTGCCATGATGGCCTGTACCCTCGGAAACCGAACCCAAACTGACCACTCCTAAGTTACCGCTTGTCAGACATTCTGTTACAGTGGCAAGAAAGGCAACTAAGAGATTACACAGACCTTGCTCACTGCTACTGAGCCATGTAAAGTGCTAAACACATCCCTCACAGCCCAGACCTTGAGGTCATTCATACTCTGAGTGTTTAGTATTGCTCGTGGTTGTTTCTAAGAACCTAGAACAATGAATGGTCCACAGTAAACACAGATTGTTCACTAAATACTACAGGAATTTCACTATGGTGACCAGAGAAACAAAGGTAGCTAAGGTCCTTGGCAGAGTAAGAGAACGGTCTCGAGAGAAAAAAAAAAAAATGCTAGCCAAGAATAGTAGTGCATACCTGCTGACCCAGCACTCAGGAGTCAAAAGCAGGAGACCCCAAATGCTCCAGGTCAATTAAGGTTATACAGATGTCTCAAAAGAACAAACACAAGTTATTAATGTGCTTTGTCTCTCGGGGTTAAGAACAAGTGAACAAATATTTAAAACCAGATTTCAAGAAGAATGTGGAATTTTATTCTTGGAAAAGATCTGAGGAGAGAGTACAGGGATAAATGCCATTGGGTCATGAAAAGTAAACTGTGGAAGGCTTATGTATCCGGGATCAGGTGACAGCATATTATGACAGGAATCTGTGAGGGCTCCCTGGCCTATTTCCTATATCACTGCAGCTGTGTAAAAACAAGCAACTCCACAGAAAGTGCTTCTCCAAGTTCCAGCTCCAAGGTCCTGGTACAGTGGGTCTAAATGTGGCCTGAAAATGCATTTAGGAAATGCTTCCAAGAGACAGATATATAGCTTGCCTCCCACCAGACTTTGAGTAGCAAAATTATAAATTAGCAATAAAGACAGAAAGGTTCATAGAAAATCATTCTCTTTATTTAATAATCTCTGATATTTAAAATACAACTCATTAACACCCACATCGACAGAACCCTCAGTGTTCAACAGTGCTTTGGAAGCCCAGCTTTCAGAGGAGCAGGCAGAAGGAAGACCTGTGGAGTGGCAGCCGACAACTTGAGGCACAGGAGGAAGGGCTGCAGAGTTGGGTCCTAAGGGAACTGCCCGGCCACAGTGCAGCACACTGACCAGAAGACAGTGCCCTTTACTTCACGGCTTTTGCACTTGATTTTCATAGAGTTCATTTTTACAGAACAGTCATTTTTTTAAAAAAAATTATTCCTATTAGTCCAGTGTTGTAGAAATTAGATAATCACATCTCAAATGTCTGTATTCTTGGGGAAAAAGTCATTAAAAAATTCCAGGAAACATACCATCTTTAAACTATGTAAGAGACAAATGAGCCCTACCTACTTAACTGCATTTCCCACACACTTCTCACTAGTGCCTTACCTAGGACTGTGTACTGGTACTATTAAACCTCCATATATTTAGGGACTATCTATTTTTTTGTGCTAGTTCTTAAAATGACAGACCATTTTAGGCATATACACAAAAAAGTATTTCTCAAATTAAAAAAAAATCAATATCCTTTTCATTCATGATAGACTACAACGAAATCTTTTTATTAGGTATAAAACTTTGGAAAAAAATACAAAACCAATTTGTCTCTTTAATTACAAACAAATTAAAGGGAGAGTTTTTATTTTATATATGAAAACAAAAGAATTATTTACACTACTGATTAGCTGATCCAATCTGGTTTTTCTTAATTAAGGTCACACATCATAGCTCTACACTTGTTAGGACTAAATTACAACAAACAATTCACTTTGAAAGTACTTCCTTTAATGCCTCTCTAAATGTAAACTCACTTACATTGTGAGTCTCTGTTCTCCTTTTGCAGTGTTAGAGATTGAACCCAAGGCCTGGGCCCCTAGGTGACTGCTCTACCACTGAGCACACCCGCTCTGCCTAACTTGAATTTGGAGGTTTCAATATTAACTTACTAATTTAAAAGATTCCGCTTTCCCAGCGTAAGACTCTCAGATAGCACATTTGGGTTCTGCACTGCCCAGTTTGGACATATGCAGGGCACAGGGGCCAGTTGTAAGAATTTAGTAACTCTTGGCCCTGGCATGATTTACATAGTACCAAACGTGCAGGTATTCAAAATGTTTGGCTTAGACTCTGACACGAATAAAACTTATTTCACTCAACCTGATATTAAATAAAACAATGCAGACTACTCCTTTTGAGAATTTGTCCTCATTAGCTTTGGCTTCATCAAGAAAAATCAAGTTTTCAGGAAAAGAAAAAAGCACCACCTCAGATAGTCTGTGAAGTGTACATTATTTGGCCAAGGTTTAAAATTTTACCGAGGTGTTCACCTGTACTGACTGTATCAAACAATTTAAATCAGTGAAATGTCTGCACAGTACTGTCTTTGAGGGTGTAGAATTATGGTTTAGGTCAAAGAACAGCTATTCTAAATTTTTGAAACATAGTTAAGTTCATGACATCCCAAAATATGAAAGTGGTCTTTGTAAAGGTTTTTTTTTGTTTTGTTTTGTTTTTGTTTGTTTTTTTAAGAGAGGGTCTTACTGTGCAGCTCCAGCAAGTTTGGAACTTACTATGTAGACCAGGCTGGCCTTGAACTCAAAGAGAAATCTGCCTGCCTCTGACTCCCAAGTATTGGAATTAAAGGCATACAGCACCATGCCTGGCCTTCCAACGTGTTCTTACACTTGGTTATAACACTAGTATCATGGCTGTACATATTTTATCTGGTAGAACAAGTTACACATTAGAAAATGATATCAGTAGTTTAAATATTAAACATTAAAGTGTTCCAATTGGTAAACACAGAATGGAAATGTCAGTCAGGTCTGTAACACAAACGTGACAGTGGGTTCCCTGGCCCATGTCTGTTCTGCAGTACTATAAACAGCAGCTCCTGGATGACCTAGAACGTCAGAGAACTCTTACACTTTGGATACTGTGGTTATAATAAATATTGGCATCTTTTCATACTGGCTACTCATTAATAATGAAATCTAAATGTTTAGGTAAGCCTAGGTCAATCCAAAGGGGATGGCAGTTCAATGGTGATTTTGGATTTGCCTGGACAAATACCATAATTTATAACACACTAAAAAAACGTACTCAAGTATATTCAGTGTATGCTCAGTCTCTCTTTAAAACATTTCTAATAAAAGATCAACATGCTGTATTTCATACGTGATTTAAGTAGGGTGTGTTATATATGAAAGTTTTATAAACTCTAAAGTTGAAACTGAAATGCATATTGGCTTTCTCATTTTTCTATCAGCAACACATCAATCTAAATATATGGAAAGTTTAATGTGATTTTTCAAAGGGTAAAGGAGAGGCCATGTGACCGGCACACTTAGGGGAGTAACATATCAACTATAAGCAGAGTCCTAACTCAAACACTCTACAGCTGCACAATTCTTCTGAGCCTTTGCAATTACTAAAAGAAAACTTGGTAGATTTTAAATAGAACTGCCTAATTTTTCATAAAGCAAATTTTTTTAAAAAAAACTGTAATTGGTACAAAATGGCTAAGAAAATAACAAAACAAAACAAAGAAACACCTGTTTTGGATCTGGGGACGTAATGTAGCTCAGAGATAGAGGGCTTGCCTAGCACACAGGAGGCCCTGGGCTTCAATCTTCTGTACAGCTAAACAAAACAAAACAATCCATCCTATCAAGAAAAAGCTCTTTCATAATCATAAATAAAAATATTTGTATCTTTTTCAGTTAGATAGCAATAAATCCTACATCCAAAACTTTCCCTGATAAAAACGTGTGCAGAACACACACCAGTAGAGCAATACAGCGTGCTTCAACTTCCCAAGCTGCTGGCTCAAATCTCTTCTTGGACTTTACCTATGTACAAGTCAACATTCAAAGGGGCTTCAAAGGGGAGGGGAGGGGAAAGCAGATATCAGAATCTATGACACCATGACAAAGACACAGTTTTCACCCAAATCATACCAAGTATTGACCCACCAAGACCAGCTGTGCACCCCACTTAATGCTTATCAAAACTAAGGACTTCTTATTTACAAACAGAACCTTTGAGCATTGTGACTTCTGTAATTCTTAAGCAATTTTAACATGATTGCAAGGGTCAACCCATAGTATATTTAAATATATTTTCATTAGTAAATTACTTTGAGATTCTAGACCATCATCCTAGCAGCCTATCTTCTATTAAAATAAAAAAAAAAATTTTTTTTAAAGTGAAGCAGGCATCTATTTTCCAGGACTTAATCGTGAATAGAACACAAAGCTCCTGTCATGGAAGAAAAACTAGAACAAACCCACCACCAAGACTGAAGGGTGAGTTTCTCCTGTGGAACATTCATGGTGCATGTTAAGCAGAAGAAAATACGTTTGCGTCCTCTGCCTCTCCTTTTCTTAACTGGAAAAGAAAGGAAATAAGGTAGAGGAAGGATTTCAGAAGTCGGCCAGGGACACAACTGAAATCCTTCACAGGGCATCTAGAAAGCACAATCTCACATGCTCACAAAAAACCTCAGCTCATTTAGAAGAGCAGAACTGACTTTAGAGGAATGCACCAGAAATAATGATCCCACTAAAAAAGGCTTTAAAAGTAACAGATCACCACATTGGAGATGCGAGAGAATAACCAAAACCAGAGAAAAATCACACCAGGAAGCATTCTCACACCCTACATATATACGAGAAGACAGATTGATCTTTCTGTGACAAGACATACAAAAGACATCTCATAAAAAGGTTGGGCTGAAATGAAGTAAAAGTTCAAGTGAGCCAAGCCACCTCCAATGCAGAGAGAAAATGAAACACCAAGGGAGCAAGTTCTGTGGCAAGAGCTAATCGGTTGGTCCAAAAGAACCAAAAAAAATTCCGTAATTTCAGTCAGATATTGCACATTTAGAAAACAAGAAGGGACTTTTAGAAAACTACCTTACGTTTCTTTCATTGCTGACTGCCTCTTTGGCTAGTTTCTCGATCATTCCTCAGTCCTGTGACACACGTCTGCCTTTCTGCTTATAAACCACCGCAGTGTCTTATCTCTTCTGGTGAACACACTGCCAAAGTGGACCTTACACTGTAATCTCACAATGTTACAAAGTATGAATAGCAAAATGATTTTTAAAGGTACTATTTTTTTCTTTCTGCTTTCAAATTGTCTTTGGCAGTTTCTAAAGACATGGTCACAGCTGCCCGAAGTATGTCCTCTTCACGCATGGCATCGCCTGCTGGGAAAGAAAACAGAGTCCTCACTCATCACAACGAAAACTTCGGAACTAGAGCCTTAGTTCAGCTGGTAGGATGCTTGCCTAGCATGCATAAGGTTCTGGGTTCGATCCCTAGCATGGCATAACATCAGGAATGGAGGCACACTCCTGTAATCCTAGCACTTAAGAGACGGAGGTAGGTGAATCAAGGTTGTCCTTGACTATGTAACATCTGAAGCCAGACTAAGCTACTTGGAACCTGTCCAAGATGAAGAAAAAAAAATCAAATTCTTAGCAAATATATTTTTACTTGAATCTAGTTCTTTTTTTGTTTGTTTTTTGTATTTTTGTTTTACAAAACACTTTGTTAACTGTGTGTACATCTGTGAGCACTGTGTGCCATGACATATATAGAAGACAGGCAGAGCCAGTGCCCTCTTCCATCATGAGGGTTCTGATGGTTAGACTAAGACTGGCAGGTTTGGCAGTTGGAGACAGCTTCAGACTTAGGTATGGGAGACGGCGTTCACTCACTTTCCCCTCTTGGTTGTGAGACACCTAAGGCTTAACCTGAGCACCCTGCCACCATCTCTATGAGTTCACACTTGCATCAATTCTGTTGTGTCTGGAAGGCACTGTTTCCCTGATGTCTTCCGTCCCCAAGGTTCTGACCATCTTTCTGCTACCTTTCCCTCAAAGTTCCCTGAGGCCCGAAGGGTAGGGTTTGATGACACATCCTGGTTAGGACCAGGTATTCCAAGAGATACTCATCTCTGTATCTGTTCCCATCTAGTCCAAGTGCAAGCATCTCTGAGGACGGCTGATGGAGATGCTGATCTGATTGCCAGGCCTGCACGGCCACACCTTTCTTTAGTTTTTAAGGATAGAACTACTGGCAATATTTTTGAAACTTTTTCCAGTCCTCGTGAGTAGGTAATTACTGCATATGTAATCCTGGGTTTAAATGTTTCTTTCAGCATTGGAAACACATTATCCACTCCTTTACTCATAAGACACCTCCCATTTCAAATTGCTGTTTGACAGCTATTTCTTTGATTAGGGGTTGTGCCTTCAGTTTTGAAAAGTCCTAGTATTTCTTTGGGTTTATGAAAATTTGAAGTTCATTCTACTTCTTCCATTTGCAAGTTTCTAGTTTCTGTCTAAGTGAGACAATGAAAAGATCATCGGCCATTTTTTTGCCAGCCCTTCCACATCCCATTAGGAGGCTCCTGTGAGTTAGAGGTTCAGCTGCAATGTCAGAAGCCTCCAGCGCTCTGTTCATTCCTACGGTCAGTTTTCTGTGTTGATGGGAAGGACTTCTGTAAGCCTGTCATCTAGTCCACCGAGTTTTCTCTGCTGAGTCCACTCACTGAGCTCTTACATTCCAGTCAGTCTTCTGTTCTTAATGTGTATGTGAGACCCAGGTGGCATTGGGTGACCAGAGCCCCAGCACTCAAGAGGCAGAAGAGGGACAGTAGTGAACTCACGGCCAGTCTGGGCTACAGAGTGAGACTCTGCCTCAAAACAGAACAGAACAAAACAAAACAAAAAACAAAAAGCAATGATTAATTAAAACTGTCCATGTGGTTCCTTCTCTCATGGTTCCTGGCATAGCAGTGGCTTTCATCTGAACCCTGGGTAACTGGGTATTGTCAACTTGTGAATCTTACTCAAGTCTTCGTTTTTGTGAGCCTCCTCTGACAGAGGCATCTGTGTAGGGTATGTGCACACTGACTGCAGGTGCCTAAGCTGGCCAGAGGGGTCAAAGCCACCTGCAGCTGCAGTTACAGGACTCTGTATAAAGTGCTCTCCAGTGCGAGCCACGTCTCACATCCACAGTCCTCCATCATTCTGCCCTAGCTACATAATGAAACTGTTTCAAAAACAAAACCATATTAAGTAAGTAAAATCCAAGCATTCACCAAGTACCCTAGTCTATCTGCTTTATACTTCAAAGGAACTTGGTATATTACAAATTCATTTAAGAGTTTTTTGTTTTGTTTTATTTTGTTTTTTGGTTTTTTCGAGACAGGGTTTCTCTGTATAGCCCTGGCTGTCCTGGAACTTACTCTGTAGACCAGGCTAGCCTCGAACTCTCGAACTCAGAAATCCGCCTGCCTTTGCCTCCCAAGTGCTGGGATCAAAGGCGTGCACCACCACCGCCCGGCAAGAGTTTTATAATACAATTAAAGAAGAAAGAGAAGGTGGCTGGAGAGATGGCTCAGTGGTTAAGAGCATGAGTTGCTCTTCCAGAGGACCTGAGTTCAATTCCTAGCAACATTTATAATGGGACCTGATCTTCTCATCTGGCATGTAGGCATACATGCAGACAGAGTACTAATACATAAAATACATAAATTTAAAAAAAAAAAAGAAAAAGAAAAAGCCAGGTGGTAGTGTACATCTTTAGGGAGGCAGAGGCAGGCAGATCTCTTATGACTCTATGTATGGTCTACAGAATGAGCTGTAGGACAGCCAAGGCTATAGAAAGAAACCTTTGTCTCAAAAAGAAAAACAAACAAACAAACAAAAAACACAATACCAAAAATAATAGTAGTAGTAGACATAGTAGTAGTCATAGTAGAAGAAGAAATATAAAGTAAAATTGACAAGGACCGTGGGTATCAAGTAAAGCAATCATGGTGAATGAACAGAAAGCCTACCTTGGTTGCCCCCAAGTGCTCCTGAACTTGTGGTTGGTCTCTCACATGGGTATGAAAAAGGTCCTGGTCGGTCTATCTCCTGTTGCTGATGCTGCTGTCTGAAACATTCAAAAGTGAATATATGTTAAATCTGGCACGAGAGCAGCTAATCATGTAGGAAATAAGCTGTTCCATAAATCAAAATGGTCACTGGCCTGAATACCTCAGAAGGTGAGAAATTAGTTTAATAATTACAAGTATAAAAATGTCAAAGTTCTGACTCTAAAAACCTACATATTTGAATTATCAGACAAGAGGCAGGTATTTGCATTTTCCGTACAAGGTTCACTAGTAGTGGTCCCTATACAGATGAATGTTGGTTCATGTACCTTCATCACTGTTAGAAGCCACTGGAAAACACCTTTGATAAGACAAACCATCTCACTCTACTGTGCTCTTTCCCTGGCTGGCTCCCTCACCAACACTCGAGTTGGAATTTACTATGCTTCTCCCTGGAGGTCCATGCCTGACCACCCCACTTCAAGCGGCCACCTGGCCTTCTCACTACTTCATTTTAATTCCTGCCACAAATATACTGTCGCCTTGATGCTCTGTCTGGTCTGTAAGCTATCAGAGCACAACCTGATGCTGCTTACCTGAGTCTTAGGACCTGAAACTGCCTCTTGTCACACAGCAGCTTCATCATATACTTGAAGAATTAAAGACATAGGAATAACTGTATTCAGTCCCATTGTATGTTGAAGTATGGGATCTGTGGTTTGTTACAGGGGATTATAGTGAAGAGATAGAATTATCTCAGAAGACACTTTAAAATTTGAAGCAGTCTGAAGACAGAAAGACTATGGTGACCTTTGAAGCTGGACTGAATGTATCTTGCATTATGACATAGTTATAAGCCTGGGGGACCAGGGACTAGAATATAGTAGTCTGGATGTGACTGGCTCCACAGGCTCCTATGGATGTAGTCTTACTGGAGGAAGTGTGTCACTGGGGGTGGATTTTGAAGTTTCGAATGCCTATGCCAGGCTCAGTCTCGCACTCTCTGCCTATGGATTCAGATGTAGAACTCTGAGCGACATCTCCTGGTACCTTGCCTACCTGAATCCCACCATGCTCCCTGAAGTAAAGTGGACTAAGTCTCTGAAACTGTAATCCAGCCCCAATTAAATACTTTCCTTTATGAGTTGCCGAGGTCATGGTCCCTCTTCACAGCAACAGATCACTGGCTAAGATACTGTCTCAAAACAAAAGCAGTGAAGCTTGCTGTGGTGATGTGTGCCTGTAGTCACCAACAGGCCAGGGGAAAAGGTCATCTGAGCCCGGGAATTCAATACCAGTCTTGGTAGTATATCAATCCCTATCTCAAAAACAGTAACAATAACAAACAAAACAAAACATGCAGGAACATATCCTTGTATTTAGAAATGTGTGCTGAAATACCAAGCTACAATAAGAACGCGGTTACTTCTGGAAGCCTCTGACATGCCAGCAATCTGAGTAAGGAGTCCTGGGAGGTGCCAGGAGCTCTGTGCACTAGTTCTGCTTTTTTTTTTTTTTTTTTTTTTTTAATTTTTTTTCCAGACAGGGTTTCTCTGTGTAGCCCTGGCTATCCTGGAACTCACTCTGTAGATCAGGCTGGCTTCAAACTCAAATTCGCCTGCCTCAGCCTCCCAAGTGCTGGGACTAAAGGCGTGCACCACCACTGCCCAGCTAGTTCTGCTTTTAAGTAATAAACACACAGAGAGCTAAAAAACAAACAAAAAACAAAAAAGAAAACCCATAAATGACAGAGTAAAAAGTCATAGATTTAAAAGCTGTGTGATTTTAAAGGGACCAAAAATGTATAACTCAGTTATAGTTAGCATACTTTTTTTTCCTGTTGTTCTCAGTTTTGAAACAGGGTCTCTAGTCCAGGCTGGTAGCCCAGGATGACCTTGAACTCCAGGAGCTACTGGCCCCCACCTTCCAAGGGGACCCTACTTGTCCTCCTCAGACTTGAGTTTTTGATGTGAGCAATAAAGGCAACTCAGACAGTAGGAACTCCATCTTCTCCCTATTGGCCTTTGAGACAAAACACTGTCTGGTGCTGCACACCTTTACACATGGGGCGTGTGGAGGAAGGCCTGAGCTCTGGGGATTCTGTATGTGACTGCAACTTCAGAGACATATCCTTTAATTTACTTTTAATTTTTCATCTAATATTGTACATATCCATGGGGTTATTATAACCTTAAATTATGTAAAGTGAGAAGAAAATCAGCTGCCAACCCTGAACCAATCACTATGAAGCCTTGAAGATGCTGCTATGGGACAAGCCCCTCAGAACCCTCCCCCACCATGTCTTCAGGATCACCGCGGCTGCAGAGCTAAAACCTGGTCTCTGACTACAGATTAAGTATGCACGTGCACTACAAAGGGTATATGAGTCAGTGAGACACAGCTATTATCCTGGTAAGCAGAGTCATAGAGATTAACCCTGAATCCTGCCTCACGGCTCTGTCAGTGGAACCAGAAAATCTTGACAACCATATCATAGCTATACATCATTTCCAGTATTCTTTTGTCGTTTGTTTTTAAGATTTAGTTATGCAGCAGTGAAGCCAGCCTCAGCAGAAGCTGTGCTTGCATCTCAAGTAAGGAAGATGCAGCAAGAGAACGTGAAGCCCCCGGAGCAGCTTATGCGGGAGCCTTATAACCACGCTGTGGTTGTAGGTGTGTACAGGCCACCTCCCAAGGCGAAGAACTGAAACTCAGAGCTGTCACAATTGAAGAAACGTGTGTTGCTACTATTGCAAGGGTGTTTTTTGATTTTTTTGAGGGGAAGTTGTTTCATTTTTGTTTTTCTATTAAAAGACTCATCTGTCAAAAAAAAAAAAAAAAAGATTTAGTTAGGGACTGAAGAGATGGTTCAGCAGTCGAGGAGGGTACAGGCTGCTCTTCAGAGGACCTGGGTTCAATTCCCAGCACCTACAAGGCAGCTCACAACCATCTATAAGCCTGGCCCCAGGGGGTCTAATATCTTCTCTGGTTCCTCAGGCACTACATGCATGTGGTACTGATACATACATGCAAGAAAAACACCCATACATATAAAAAAATTGAAGAAAATGATTTATTAATTTAATATGCATATATAAAAAATTTAATGTTTTAGATTGTGTGTGTGTGTGTGTGTGTGTGTGCTCTTGTGAGTGCACACCCACCCAGCCTCAGGGGTGAGAATGGAATGTAGAATCCTCTGAAGCTTGGGTCCTCCCCAAGCGTATCTGATCCCCACCATCCCAATCAGACAGTAGTTGCGGCCCTTTTCACAAACTGGTCTATATTTCAAATGCCTGGCTCAGGACAATCCCTAAGACTGTCAAGCCCCTAATTTCACGATTAGTGTTTCACTTAAACACCCCTACCTATTTCTGTTTCTTAAACTGAACTGTCTGATAAACTAAGCTTCATCGTGAAAGCTAGAGCACAAGTAACAGCAAATCAAAGCATCACAACACTCCTTGGCCACGAATGCTACAGTCTATTTGCTCGCATTCAAAGCTATACCTAGAGGGGACATAAGTGATGCTGACACACATCTCTGGAACATGTAACAGCTGACAAACAGTCTCTGGACCTATCACTGACTTCTATGCTCCAAACAGCAGGTATTAACAATGCTGGAGTGAACTTTATTTACACATCACTGCTAAAAAAAAATGTCAAGTCAAGGAAATATTACTTAGCAACCCTTATTCATAAACTATGAATTTATAATAGGCTAATTTTTAGTAATATTCTTTAAACAAGAAAAGATGCTATAATGTGTCATATTTCATATCTCCATTGAGTATGAGGCTTTACAAAGCAGTGGGGAGATGAGGGAGAACCGCTGAACGGAGAGGAACAAGCTGACAGCAGGATCAGCTTGGACGGAAAGCGGGTCAGAGCTTTAGAGCCAAAGACAGAACCCAGAGAAACAGGGAACTATTCCAGCTAAGAAATGGAGGCTGAAAGGAAGAAAGGGAGAGAGAGAAGGAGGGAGGAAGGGAGGGAGGGAGGGAGGGAGGGAGGGAGGGAGGGAGGGAGAGAGAGAGAAATGGAGGCTTTGAGAAAAAGGCAAATGCAGTATGAACTTTTTTAACCAAGGAGCCATCCTCCAGCTCCCCTCCCCCACACACACACCTTCTTAAAATTCGGAAGTACACTAGCACTTTTAAATGCTAAAATTTTAATGTTAAAAAGACACATTACAAAGTTAACCCTTAATTCACCTCAGCTATATGTGACTACATAGAACATTCTTTAGCTAAGTTCTTGGCAGAAGATAAGAGACTAAAGATAGAAGCAATCTTAAATACACAATCAACCACTAGAAAAGAGGCATGTTCATACCCAAACTTTTTTTTTTTTTTAAGGTGCAAGATTGGCCCAAATCTGTCAGCTTGAAAGCACTAGCTACGACTTTTAAACTGTGATTGTTACAGCACACTTATTCATCATGGGATGTTACTGAATTACCTTTACTGCTACTAACAGTCAAAAGTAGTGGAAGTTTCAAATTTTTATTTCAAAAGAGTTAATAAAATGTTTAAATGAAAGAAAGGAGTTGACGACAAAGGTCAGCAAGTAAAGACCCTTCCTTAATGCCAAGCCCGACACCCTGGGCCACCGACGGGACCGACTCCTGCGGGATGGCATCCTTGGGCCTCCTGTACACCATATATAGTATATTGTACATACGCGCTTACACACACGCTCACGCACTGAGATACAGAATATGAAAATGTGTATGACAGAAGGGAATATAGTCACTAACATCATTTATTGAAGGAAGGGACAGTGGGTACATTTTAAAAAACTTAAATTTTCTAGAATGCTCATTTTACCTACTTAAGTAGTTTTAAGTTCTTTTTAAAACTCGATATTTATGTTAAATTATCATTACTACTACTATATTGTGACGACAGAACTTATTAGGAAAAACATAGAGAGAAATGGTCAAGTCAAAAGTGGTGTGCACACCCACACTCCAGCACTCGGGAGCGAGAGTCAGGATGACTGGGAGTTTAGGATTCACACAAGCAGTGAGTGAGACTGCTCAAAAAATAGCACAAAAATAAAACCACAAACAACCCTAAAGATTACAAGCAAACAAATGTCCTAGAATATTTTGGAAGCACATACAAAAGAAGTAATGGCCTGCTGACTGTGACTTGGAACAAGTCCAATGCTGTGGGAAGGACGGGAGTCAGAGGCGTAAAACCTGGGCTGTGTGCTGGTGCCTGTCAGCAGGAGTAACAAATATGAGTGTGCTGTGCATAATCTAAGGTTTGTCACAATTTAAAAAGAAGTAATCATTTCAAAAATCCAAAAGGACGTGTAAAACACTAATAAGACTGTTCTAAAATGTAAATATAATTAAATCTATTAATCAGTCACTGAATAAAGACCAGAAATATCTCACATTAAGAGGATGTCAGCTGATCAGAACTTTCCTTCATATACTTCTGAGTTGTGACTTAAAAAAACAGAAAAAGATAAACATTATCTTCAAGACACTAACAGATGCAAAGCGGTCCAAACTTTACTAATGCACCAACTATGACTAAAGACGCAGCTGCTCAAGCTCAGAGGCGCTGCTGTGCTGCTGAGCTGTGCTTGGGTGGGGGTGGGGGTGGGGCTCATTCAGCTCCCCTCTGAGCTGCATCCCAGTCTTCTTAGAGATTTTGAAATGTGAAAATAACTGCATCGCTGAATTGAGAGGTGTGGTACATAATCGGGCAGAGTCCACTCCGACCTGAGGTCAGAGGGTTCAATTATCTACTATTGATTATATAACTTTTAAGGTGGAGTTTGGTTTAAAATAAACAACTAGGTACGACAACATGTACCTGTAGTCCTAGCACAAGGGAAACTGAGGCAAGAAAGACAGCCAACAGTGAGGCCAGCTAGGACTACAGGAAAGTAGTCATCATGAGGCCAGCCAGGGGTACACAGCAAAACCCTGTCCAAAACGCAAAGGAAGCCTTGGTCACTACATATATAGTCACTATAAAGGAAAACACTATATAAGTGGAAGTATTTCTCTGCCTAGAACTTATAAACAGAGTAGAACATAAGGGCTTGGAAGCTTATGGCTCAGATTTACGGCTCCTATGCTGCTGCTGCTGCTGCTGCTGCTGCTGCTGCTGCTGCTGCTGCTGCTGCTGGGCTTGGACCTCCACAAGTGTCAAGAGCAGGACTAGGGAGCACGTACCCCTGCACTGGGGAATAGGCTGCACCTTCCTCAGATGCTGTGCTCCCTGTTTACCGATGGGAGGTTAGCAGGACTCATAGGTGACCAATGCTACATACAAAGGATCAATAGGCACAGCTCTTGTCCTGAGTCCATTTTCCTTTTGATAAGCAAAATTTCACAGGGTTTCCTTTATTCTAGTCTATGTAAATTTATCCAAGACCTGGCAATGGTTTTTCTCTAAATGATTAAGTATTTCACACCTTATTCTCTGTAAAAACTTTAAAAAATATATTATTATGTTCACAGGTTCAGGCGGTAAGCAGTAATTTATAAACAGACAAAATAAGCAAGTATTAAATATGTAACTTTAATCTGTACCAACTACTTTACTTTTCAAAGTAGGCTTCTCTTCTCTTCCGCAGCTCTTCTGAAGAAAGATCTGTACTTGACGTCTGTGGACTATCTTCACACATAGTTCTGGAACTACCTAAAAAAAGAATCACTTTATATACCTGTACAAGCAATAGTATGTGTGTTCTTACCAGAGCAAGCTTCTAGAAAGTTTTCTTCCTAAAAACACTCCACTACTGTTCTGTAACTATAAGAAACCTATGGAAGTCTTGGAAAATCTAATGAAAGCCTTACAATTCACTGTGCTACTGCAACCAAGGCTGATGCTGTCTGTGATGCATCAGATGTGAGGATACCAGCTCACTGCTCTTAGACCTCATAGGAGAAGTACCAGGACCACACTTCTGTGCTCTTTAACTTCCAACATTGCATCCCTACCTCCAAAGGCAAGGTGTTCCTCACAGTCACCTTTGATGGATGACCATAGCACGCCCTTCTCTGTTCCTAACAACGTGAACATTTCAAAGCTTTCAACAGTAATTGTACCAAGCAGATTCTATGTAAATTGTGAAAATAGTAAGATGGTTTTCTGTATATTACTTCAATAACCCAGCAAGCCCCCTCCTAATAAAACACGGGACTTCACACTACAAGGAGTATGCAGAGGTAAGCCTGGAGGTGAGTAGTCTAGGAAAATGAATAATGGCTGTACTCGCTGGTTTTGTGTGTCAACTTGACACAAGCTGGAGTTATCACAGCGAAAGGAGCCTCCCTTGAGGAAATGCCTCCATGAGATACAGCTGTAAGGCATTTTCTCAATTAGTGATCAAGGCGGGGAGGGCTCATTGTGGGTGGTGTCATCTCTAGACTGGAAATCTTAGGTTCTATAAAAAAACAAGCTGAGCAAGCCAGGGGAAGCAAGCCAGTAAGTAACATCCCCCCATGGCCTCTGCATCAGCTCCTGCTTCCTGACCTGCTTGAGTTCCAGTCCTGACTTCCTCTGGTGATGAACAGCAGTGTGGAAGTGTAAGCTGAATAAATCCTTTCCTCCCCAACTTGCTTCTTGGTCATGATGTTTGTGCAGGAATAGAAGCCCTGACTAAGACACTGGCTATGTTAACAAACCCTCAGTACACTAAGACACTTAAGGAATTTAGATGACGAGCAACCGCATTAGAGGTAGAAGCAGCTTCGTAGGAACTAGATTAAAACACAATCACAAAAATAAAGCTCAGGAAACTGTTTTGAGTGTCTCAACACTGTTCTCTGCCTACACTCCTCAGGGACTTTATCTCCACTTTCCTCCACTGATGATGGACTTTTACATCAATGAAAAGTATGTGTCCTCCAAAAGTAGGCCTAAGTCTTAATCTGCATAATCTGTTTACGTCTTTATAGACAGTAAGTGCTGCATGCATTTGGCTTGGGCAAGGGGCATCTGGCCACTAGAAGAGTAACTCAACTAGTTGTTGTATTGGCTCAGTATCAAATCAACAACATAACTACAACTAAAGTGATAGATGTGTTAAACACAATATTGTCTTAGTATAATACAAGTATAAAAATAACTTAAGATCAAGAAAATCAAAAAGAAATGCTCAAAGTTTGGAGCGATTGCTTTTGCAGTAACTATCAAAGAGCTTCCAAAAGCTAAGGACATGACCCACTTCTCCAAATATGACTAAAGTAAAGTATACATCTAAGTGTCCAAACCTTGCATACTGAGCTGAATGGCCCTGCGGAGATCGGCTTCTTCATCCTCCATGTCGATTTCCTGGCGACTTATGGCTAGAGCTCTCTGCAAATCATCCTCATCTTCATCAAACACCCCTGGCCCGTCAGCTGCCTCTAAGACTCGCTCCAGATCTGCTTTGAGGGCACTAAACAACAAATGAATTCATAACAATTACAGCCTAGTTTCTAAGAAACCCTGTCTCAAAAGAACAAAACAATGTGCATGACATTGTGTTCGCTTGTGTGTCTTGCACAATGTATGTGCAGCGCCTGAGGAGGCCAGAAGAGTTACAGAAGGCTGTGCGTGAGCTGGGTGCTGAGAACCAAACTTAAGTCCTCTAGAAAGTAGCCAGTCCTCTTAGCCACTGAGCCACCTCTTCAGCCCCTTACTCTACAACTTTAGATAAAGTTTAATAAACATGAAGGCACTTACAAATGAAAGATTTTAAATCAAAAACATGCTCTAGCAGATGAGGTCTAGCAACAACAAAATTCCTGAAATACATTAGGTTGTGATAAAAACTTGGGCCAAAGACAGAATGTCAAGTCTGGTAACTGGGCCACTTAATGAGACCTGTTCAATGCTAGAGTATATGCATAAAATTCAGGATTAGAGCCAAAACACTACAAATAATAATATGACACCAAATCATTTTGGCTGGGGGAAATATGTTCTGGAGATGAAGCACAGTAGGCAGTATATTCGCGTAACATACACAAACCCCTGGGTTCAGATTCCATCACCATAAATAAAATAACATGGGGGTACGCACATATGTAATCCCAACCAGCGCTACTTGAGATTTTATTTCAAAAAGCAAATAAATACAGAGGCTCCTCAAATAGTATGTGAACATGTCCCACTACACTTTAAGCACATCAGACTTGTAGACTAGTGCTACTCAGAGCAAAGCTTCTTTTTTGCAGCCATTGTTCTTGGTTTCCCAGCAGAACTAAATAGTAAGATCTAATTGGCGGTGATGTTGGTCATGGACCACTTTGGCTACATAACAGAGAAACCAAACTGGAACTAAGCTGGAAGCTTCCACCTTGCTGACACGCTTTCATAGTGCTGGAAGATTCTTTGCAGGCTGCCAGAGAAGACAAATCATTAATAGTCTTAATCAGCCCCTAGGTGTCACGATATAATTGTCTTTTGCTAGACAACAGTGGCATGACTATTATGGGGCAACCAACCACTTCTTTATATTATATTTATTTGAGGCAGTAGCTCTCCATTATCTAGCTCTGGCTGTCCTGGAACTTAGTATATAGACCTGGTTGGCTTCAAACTCACAGAGATCTACCTGCTTTTGCCTCTTAAGTGCTGGGATTAAAAGTGTGTACCACCAGGCCCGGCCCAACCATTTTTTTATTTGTATTTGAGAGCCACTTCACATTAGGTAGTTCATGCCTGGTACCAAAAGCCTGGTCAAAACCCCATGACTGTGTTTGTGGGGGAGACTACTCCTAAACGGACATGTCAATCACCCTTCTAAATACATTTACCTACAGGTTAATGCTTGGTCAGAAAAGCTGCCCACTCCCCTGGCAAATAGCAGAACTGTTCAAAGTGCTTGAGAGTAAGTGACTGTTAAATGCCCAGACTTAAATGGGACATCTATACCATCCCTCTAAGGCTCAAGGGACTTCACAAAAGAGGGAGAAGAAAGGATGTAAGAGAGGAGATTAGAAAGAATGCTGTGACATGCTAGCTGACTTCTGACTACAATGTGGCTGTTGCTCTAATAAACTGACAGAAAACCTGCACAAGATCTGTCCACCAACATTCTAGTATGGATAGGGAGAACTCAGAGGCCCAGTCCCTAGCTGAAGATCTGTGGCTGCTAAGACACGGGGAGCAATCTTTCTTCAATGGTACAACCGCTGGGAGGGTGTCCATGTAAGCAAACCTAATTAAACTCAGTGAGTCAGAAGAGAAAAACAAAGGGAAGGAGGAGGGAGAGGAAAAGGAAGAAAAGGAGGAAGAGGAAGGGGAGGAGGAAGAGGAAGAGGAAGGGGAGGAAGAAGAGGAAGAAGAAGAGAAGGAGGAGAAGGAGGAGAAATGAACATAGGGAGGGGACCTGTTGGAAAGAAAAAGGGATTCAGAGGGAACAGACAGGGGATAAAAGTGGGTAATGAGGGATAACATAATAAAACTATTTATATACATGTATAAAATTGTCAAATATTTAAAATAAAATAACATACATCAAAGTCTTGAACTCCCTGTCCTCCATCCAAGTGTGTCTACATAATTAAATAAAATGATTTAATTAAAAATTAAATGTCTTAATAAATAAAAACAGGGGGTTGAGCATAACTGAGTAGAACATTTGCCCAGTGTGAACACGAGGTTGATCCCCTGCACTACAAAAGAAATGCCCAAAATAATAATTACCCAAATCACTGATGGTAAAATGATCACACAGTAAATGTAAGTTAAGTGCAGAGGCCGGGGGATGGCTCAGGGGTTCATATACTTCCTGCTCTCCAAAGAGCCACGTTCAGTTCCCAGCACTCACATCATGAGCTCGGTCATCTGCATGTACACAGAGACACGAGGAATGGAAGCATGAACATTTAACTCTTCTAACGGTGTGCTGTATTATACATTCCACACTAATGCACAGTTTTACCTCTGTTCTTTCAGATGTGCTAGTTCTTCTCCAATAAGTTTTGGTCGATGCATCTGTTGGACCTTGATCATCTGCAAAAGTTGGTCAGCCTCACAATCTGGCAGATCACCCTTAACAACAAATATAGAATAACCTAAAAAGAGGCAAAAACAAACTAAAACAACCAGTAAGAAATTCAAACTTGTTTGAAATGATAGCTGTCAGAAAGAGCACAGTAGGAAAAAAAAGAAAAGACCTGATTTAGTGACAACTCTCACTTGGATTAGGAAGGAAATCTACAGAAGTCACACAGAATCTTGGGCCTCACTTTTCTCATCTCTAAGCCTCAGGGCCTACAAGAAACAAAGGCAGTCTACAAGGGCCCTAGGAGGGCAGAGCCTGAACATGATCTACCTGCTGAAAGGGTAAAGGAGGATCCAGAATTGACTGCCTGCCTGCCTAGCTCTGCCACTCGCCAGTGCCACAAGGTCTGTCTACTATCTCACCCATCTCTGTTGGTATCATTTGTTGAACAGGGATAAAGGAGCCTTCCTCAGATGGCCGGTGTGAAGACACATTTGGTTAGTTCAAGGACTGATAACATGGATAAAATAAATCACTGGAATACATGCTGGAAATGGCACCCTGCTCCCTGCCCCATACATATAGGCCTTCTAACCGAAAACAGGAGCTGAGAAGCCAGTACCCTAAATCTACTTAGTGTGCCCTGTGTTTTAGGAAAAAAAAATACACTGGTACAAAGCAATATTTAATAAATACATACCTAATAAGCTAAGTTTTCTTAACCACAACTAAATTTTAATTTTATTTAACATTTTCTGCCATTGATTTTTCTTGTACTTCAATGAAACAAAGAATGAGAGGGCTATTCACTAAAAACAACATGTTTAACATTTTTTAAGGACAAGCTTATTCAGAGTTCAGGTGTCTTAATGTGTTTTCTGCTAACAAAACTGTTTCTGAACCCTAGAATCAGCATGGCAGCTCAGTATGGTACCTACTGAACATGTCCTGAAGAAAAGATACTCTGCCTTATGCAAACAACACAGTAATTCTGGATTTTATTTAAGACTTTGGAATTTATTTTGGGTGTACTAGGAAACCTCTAACTAATACAAGGGTATGACATGATACACATTTTATTTTTAAAAAGCACTCTTGTCTACTTTATCAATATAACATATAGAAACCAGGGTGCAAGAATGATTCTTACTGAAATGGAAACATGAGAGAAAGCACATAAAAGACAAATAAAACCAGCCAACCAAACAATAATCATGGAAGCTAAGTCTTAGTGGCTGGTGGGATTGTTCAGAGGGTTAACAGCCCTCGCTGCTCTTTCAGAGGATTTACATTGGGTTCCTAGCACTTGTAAGGTAGCTTACAACCGCCTGTAGCTCCAGTTCCAAGGGATCTGATGATGCCCTTCTCTGGCCTCCATGGGCACCAGGAACACACATAAATAAAACACTCATACACGTTAAATATAAAATTAAACATTTTAAATGTGTTTTGTGGACCTGTTTGATTTGAAATCTTCCTGGGCCACCACTCAAAGGTGTTCCAAAGGAATGTCTAGGCTGAAGAGAAAAGTCTGGGAATTCAGTGTACAGATCACAGCCTGTGATTAAAGCAATGAAATGGCACATAAGGAAGAAGCTGAACTGAACCCAGCTTGGCCCAAAGCTAGACACTGGAGAAGAATGATCCTCAAAAGGAACCTGAAAGCAGCAACTGGTGACAGGAGATGCCCACATGTAACACCACTGTGTCAGCTTCAAGGACAGAAGAGATCCAAGCACTGATCCCTAACACGGTTAAGATCACCCAAGGACAAGCAATACCAAGTGCCACACATTCCCAAAGCAGCTTGAGTATAGTCAAGTATCTGCATCTCAGGTCTAGTCACTAGAGCATCTAGTGGTCAGAGGAAATGTGCCCAAGAAAAAAAACCAAGATGTGGTAAACAGGCAAATGACCCAATATCCTCCGTGAAAAGACACTACCAAATACATCAAAGGCAAAAAATAGAGACAAGGAAACTTATAAGTAGATTTAGTGAAAAAACAAACAACTAACCCAATACAATTATTGAACTTGATTTCAACTCAGACTGAAGTGTGAAAGAAATCAGAGATGAGGGGCAAGGGACTTAACCCCTGGGGACCTGTGCCATCACAGCTCTGTGGACGGCCAGCTGGGGAGACAGAACAGAGTGCAGTCCTGCTTCACATATGCACAGTGGGGATTTCCCCCCATCACCACAAAATACAACACTTTTAGGTGTAATTACAGTTCCACAGTGTATGTTTTTAGTAAATAAATAATAGAATTCACTTTTAGAGCCTTTTATCATGAAAGCAATTTACAGAGAAAAAGGGAGAAGGAACAGGAAGTAGACAAGGTATAAAGGAACAGGCACGAGGGGAAGGGTGAGAGGCACATCACTTCCCTCCTTTGATAGTTGTTTTAACTTTGGGTGGGTTGTTTGTTTTTTAATAAGAAGTTTGTTGTGCTCTGTTTAGACTGGATACAATCAACTACCTCATCAAATATAGGAAATCTAAGAATTGAATTCCGGCACTGGCAATGTAGAAGTCACCCCGATATTGAGAAGAGAGACTTCTGGAGGTCACTGGCTTGCAGCGACCCACGTGGAATGAGTTCAACAGACAAAGCACTAGAGATAATCCTACTGAGAAAATGTTAGACGAGCAAGACACTAACGCTTCCGAGTCTCGAGACGCTCTAGTTTTAATCAGTGGAGGCCGAGAGCTTTTTACCCATGCATCGGCTTTTTTTAAGGGAGTGGGAGGGATGTTCGACCCAGGAGAGCATTAACCCAAAACTGAACGTGGACTCGACGGGAGCCACAGGGATACACAGGCATACACGGAGGGACCGGTCTTACATGAAGGGCCAGGTCCTTCTATTTTAATAGGCTCAAACCACAAGATACAGAAGCAAGGTGAGAAATTTGCTACTGGAAAGAGAATTCTCTCTTTATGTTCACAGTAGAATACAAGAGAAAGCCATAAATAATAGCAATGTGTAACAAAAAGAGAGCTAAGTTGGGAAATAACTACCAAGACATCATTTGAAACCTGTAAGCACAAAATGATAACCAACATATTTTACCTCAGTTTGAAACCATGTTCAGCTGCTATGGTACAGGAATGTCTAGGGTCAAGACCTAGCTTACCTACGCTCAAGACTCTTGTTATTTAGGAATGATGGGGAGAGACAGGAAAGAAGCATTTGAATGACAATATCAGGAGTTGGAGAAATGGTTCAGAGTTAAGAGCACTGGCTGCTCTTGCAGAGGTCCCAGGTTCCAGTCCTAGCACCCATATGGTGACTCACAACTGTCTGTGAATCCAGTTCCAGGAGTCCCAAAACTCTTCCAGCCTCTTTGAGAACTGTATGCCTGTAGTGCACACAGAATCATGCAGGCAAAACATCTTACCACATAAAATACATTTTTAAAAATCTTGAAAAAAGAAAACAATTACTGGGTATGGTGGCACATGCCTTTAAACCTAGCACTTGGGAGACAGAGGCAGGCAGATCTCCGAGTTGGAGGCCAGCCTGGTCTACAGAGTGAGTTCCAGGACAGTCAGGGCTCTTTTACATAGAGAAACCCTGTCTCAAAAACAAACAAACAAACTCAAAACAAACAAAACACCGTGAAGACTGTAAGAGGAGGAGTCCTGGATCTCATGGTAACTTCAGAGCCTGGTCAGAGCAGCAGAATGTCATAGAGGTAGAAGGTGATGGTCAAAGACTGCGATGCTCATGACTAGAATTTGACGGTAGATATAGTCATTGGAAATGGCAAGACAAGAGTGAAGAAAATGGTCTTTGAAACAGGAATAGTTACTGGTGTGGAAATGACTAAGAATTTAAAGAAAAGAGACAGATAACCAGACATCCAAAGTCTCCAATTAAAAGGGCAGCTCACAGATGACTGTACAGACAGGGCGTGGCTAATCCAGAGGAGGCAACTCAAAGGCACTGGGGTCCACAGAGAGAACCATGACTGAAAATGAGTCAACAGGAAGGGAAGGAGCATGGTCCTCCTATCAGCCCTGTGATGTGGAGGATACAAAAGCAAAAGATAGCACTTAAGAATGGAAAGGAAGCCAGGCAGTGGCGGCGCACGCCTTCAATCCCAGCACTTGGGAGGCAGAGGCAGGCGGATTTCTGAGTTCGAGGCCAGACTGGTCTACAGAGTGAGTTCCAGGACAGCCAGGGCTATACAGAGAAACCCTGTCTCGAAACCCCCCCGAAAAAAAAAAAAAAAAAAGAATAGAAAGGAGGCCCCAGGCTCAGGGGATGTCTCAATGCAGGGAGCACTCACACAGAACTGTGCCACCCAAACCACAGCCAGAGATCAGTACTGTTTCACTCACAGATCTGAGATCAGTACTGTCACAGTCACAAATCTGAGATCAGCACAGTGACGATCAAAAATCATGACTCAGTTTTTATTTAAGCTACTTTTAAAGATAACATTTTTGGTATTATTTACCTTCTTGCTGTAATTGAGCCAAGAATAGTGCGAGGTATGTATCTGATATTAATTCTGGACCCGTCAACAGAGAATTCAAGTTAAACCACTAGGGGAAAAAAAAAATCAGTATTTAAGTTAATGAACATTATATATAAAAATGATTTCTCGTGTTAAGTATATATATAACCCACCAAAATTTAATAAGATAATCTAAATAACAGAAATATATCTGGGAATTTTTAAAGTACTAAATACTGTGACTTAAAAAAAATAAATGCTGAACACTTGTCACTATTAAATGCTTTTCTAAAAACAAGTTTTTAACAATAAATTAAGGCATTAACCTGAACTTCTAAAAGGAGAGTAGCTGACAGTCAGTATCTTAAGATGCCTGTTTGATAGCTGTAACTAAGTGGTTTCACACCATCAGGCCAACACACAGACCCGTGTCACACTGACAGATGATAGCTGTAACTAAGTGGATTCACACCATCAGGCCAGCACACAGACCCGTGTCACACTGACAGATGATAGCTGTAACTAAGTGGTTTCACACCATCAGGCCAGCACACAGACCCGTGTCACACTGACAGATGATAGCTGTAACTAAGTGGTTTCACACCATCAGGCCAGCACAAAGACCCATGTCACAGACAGATGATAGCTGTAACTAAGTGGTTTCACACCATCAAGCCAGCACACAGACCTGTGTCACACTGACAGACAAAAAAAGGACAGCAGCACACTTTTTCATTTGGCCAAAAGATTCCAACTTCTAAAAGGTAGACACTCTAAGAAGAAAATTTATGACCAGCACTTCATTCTAACAAGACCTCTAAGCTATTGCTACATGTGATTAACAGCATTAAGTCACAACCTCAGAGATGTCCTAACTTAAAAAGGTTCCAAAGTCATGCTCAATTCCACGTATAACTAAGGGCTCTTCCTGGATTTTGATACCAGCCAGAGTACTTTCTCCAATCATTCCTTTCTTTACACAGGGACCAGAGCTGGCCTTAGAACTCATGGACCAGGCAAGCCCCTGCCTCCTGACTGCTGGAATTAAAGGTGTGTGACATCACATCCAGCTAAAACTCTGTTCTTAAACAAGAATATGACTCAGAACCAAGGACCAATATACATATTCAGCCATCTTTGTACCTGTCAGAGAGAAACTAGTTCAAAATGTTAAAAATCCAAGAAAGAGCTAAAAATTTTAAAAGATCAAAACAATGTTTCCCTATTTCTACGAAGTTTTTCTGAGTTTTACATTCCCAGACCGTAAAACTCCAGTGATTACTTGGTACAGGAAAATAACGCTGGGTCATAATTTTCTAAAAGCAAAAATAAACCCTCAATGGCTACAATGGAAGAGGGCAGAGAAGTTAAACGAAGCTGACCCTGGGCTTTTGAAGAAATGCCTCCTGTTCCAGTTAGGCTCTGCCACCATCCACACAGCCCTTCCCCAGTTCTCTACGCACCTTACAGAGAACCTAAAGACTGCTTTTCCCTTATTCTTTTGGAGCAGGAGATGGAGCCTTAGGACCTTGTGCTTATCACAAGTATATCTCCTGTCAATGATCTACATCACCAATCACTGACGACTGGCTACTTCCAGGTGGCTAAATTAAAAGTTAACAGTACGGATTACTTTAAAAAAATTTTAAAAGGGGGGGCGGAGAACACAGCAAATTAAATCAATATACATATATACATGCAATATATATGTTGATTTAACTCAGTGTATTTCTTTTTAATTAATTAATTTTATGTGTATGTATGTGCATCATGTGTGTGCTTGGTGCCCAGAGGCACCACTTTCATAGAGCTGGAATTATAGACAGTTGTAAGCCACCATGTGGGTGTTGGGAACCAAACCCAGGTCCTCTGAGAGAGCAGTAAAGTCATACCTGCTGAGCCACATCTCCAGGTTCAATGTACTGTTTCTTATGTAACTTACTGTTGGATTTTTAAACACAGGGTCTCATTTTGCAGCCTTGGTTGGGCTCACAGAAATCTATCTCCCTGTCCCTGCTGGGATTAAAGGTGTGCACTACCACACTCGACATTTTGTTTTGGTTTGGTTTTTGTTTTTTCGAGACAGAGTTTCTCTGTGTAGCCCTGGCTGTCCTGGAACTCACTCTGCAGACCAGGCTGGCCTCGAACTCAGAAATCCGCCTGCCTCTGCCTCCCAAGTGCTGGGATTAAAGGCGTGTGCCACCACTGCCCGGTGACATTTTTCTTCTTAGTTAAAAAACAGCTTTATTGGGGCACAACTGACATGAAATAGACTGCCTTCCCTGTCCCCCATCTCTCTTGAGGGTTTCATGATGTAGTCCAGGCTGGCCTCAAGGTCTTCCTAGGTCACTGGGATAAATTAAACATACTTATAGCACCATTTTAAAAAAAATCTCTATTATCTGCATTATTAACCCATCAACATGACCAAGAGAGGGAGCATAGTCAGAGTCCCATCTCCGGGTCCCTCTGGGCCTTTCTCTCATGTGCCGTCTCCCCACCTCCAGCCTACACAAGCACTATCAGTCTACTTTCTGTCACTAGGGCTTAGCTCCCATTTTTGATACTCATCCACACTGCGTGTATACTAGCAGTTCATTCCCCTTGACTGTATAAGCTGGTTCTTAATAACCCTCAGCAAGGTCTAACATTCTAACAAGAACTTTATGTGACTATATACCGATGTATGGACTGCCAGACAGTGGAATCGCCTGAAGAAGCCCATCCCAGTAATGCCAACTTCTACATGTCTTGTTGTTCCTGACATGATCTCGGGCTTTGTGATAGTTCTGTGCTAAACACAAATCGTCACACAAAAACAAATGTACAGTAACCACATATGCAGTGTTTTGAATACAGAATCCTCATTATGATAGAACATATATGGGTTTATTTTAAAAATCTGAAGAGAAACTGATTATCTTCTCTTAAGCTAGCAAATTTCTCTCTCTCTTTTTTTTTTTTTTTTTGGTTTTTCGAGACAGGGTTTCTCTGTATAGCCCTGGCTGTCCTGGAACTCACTCTGTAGACCAGGCTGGCCTCGAACTCAGAAATCCACCTGTCTCTGACTCCCAAGTGCTGGGATTAAAGGCGTGCGCCACCACTGTCCGGCAATTTTTATCTCTTGAATTGAGTCCAGACTTAGGTAGAGTGCACAGGATCTGGGGCTTCATTCCAAAGACACCAATCTCAAACTTTAGTTTCAAGCAGAGTACAGAGTGTAATAAAAGGACAAGAAAATAGAAGATATATTACCTGTTTTCCTAATTTTCTAACTGTAAACCAATGTTCTTTATAATTGCATATAAAGGATCTTTCATTTCTAGAAAAAACCAAAACATATACTGTTAAGTTGGGATAGTAGAGATATATACTAGCAGGTACTATAAAATTTCTATCATTTAGGATGTAGTTATACTTAATTATTTATTTTAAAAAAATATAAATCACATAACTATGCATTTTCCACAGGAGCTTAGTGATGTTAAGCCCAAAACCCTCCACACCACTCAGGTCAGGGCCACCACCAACACTGAATGAAGGCACCAAGAAGGTGACAGAGTGAAAACCAATGGTATCAAATACAGAATCAAAGCAAAGACATTCACGATGAATTTGTCCTCATTCAGAAATTACAGCTTTAAAAATCAAATTTAAATAAAGAAATGAAGGAAAAAAACTCTTACATAGGATCAATTCTGAGCCTCTGGTACTCTGGACTGTTGAATAGGATTAGTTCTAAACCCCAAACTTTCAAGGCATTGCTTATAACCTGTCAAAAGAAAAAGAACAACTTTTCATGAGCTAAACCTTCAAGTTCAAGTTTAAGTAGCAAAGCCACATTGTGTAACCAACTATATTTTATATATAAAATTTGAGGATATAGTTTTTAAAAGTCTTGTCCCACCAGGCAGTGATGGCACATGCCTTTAATCCCAGCACTTGGGAGGCAGAGCCAGGCAGATCTCTGAGTTTGAGGTCAGCCTGGTCTACAGAGTGAGTTCCAGGACAGCCAGGGCTACACAGAGAAACCCTGTCTCGAAAAACCAAAAAAAAAAAGTTTTGTCCCTGTGATACTCCACTAAATCCATAAATATATACATGTGAACTCAGTTTTATTTCATTCCAAGTTTTAAAGATTTATTGTTTTATTATTTTTATCTAAGTGTGTCTGAGTGAGTTCAGGCCATTGTATCAGCATCAGGTGTCCATATACTGGAGTTATAGGCAGTTGTAAGCAGTCTAATATACATGCCGGGAACTGAAGTGGTCTTCTTCTGAAATACCATTAAGCATCTTAAATGGGAAGCCATCTCTCCAGCCCCTCACATCCATTTTGAAAGAGTGCTTTTCCATACTAGGTTTCTGAAAACTGTCAGAAAACCACAGAATTTGTAGAGAACACTGTCTCAAGCATCTAGAAGCACATTCCACACTGTGGGTACTGTTTGTAACACTATTCCACTACGCACACTCACTACCTGCAAAGGCAGTGACCAAGGAGATATAGTAAATAAATTCTCTCTAGGGGTTAAAAAGAAAGGTTTGGGCGCTGGGGAGATGACTGTGGTCAACAGTCCATACTGTTCTTACAAAACCCAAGCTCAGTTCCCAGCACCCACGTCAGGCCTCTCGACCACCTGTAATGTCAACTGCAGGCTCCAGTGCCCTCTTCCCTCCTCCACAGACAGGAGCACTCATGTGCACACAGCCACACATAGGCACATACTGTATACAAATAATTTTTAAAATAAATCTTTAAAAAGAAGATTTGATATATTTTAAACTTCCAGAGTCATGAAAGACAATCAAACCTGATGATAGCAAGCTGAAAAAAAAGCGAGAGAAATTAAGACAACATTCCAACTGTTATCCCAGGAAGGCAACAAAGAAACACGTACAACTCAGACCAAATGCAAGTGTAAGAGAGCAGAAATGTAAGCATGTCACACACAAAAAACGCCGGGGTTGTGCCAACTCTCACCTCTGCTCTCAGCTCAGGCCCACTGGACCTCACAATGTCACAAGTGAGATCCTGGGTGGAAATGCTAGAGAATGAGGACTCTAGAAGGGTGGCATAGAAGGAATGTATAAAGAAAGACACTTGCATAAGTAGATCTCTCAAAAGACAGATTCAGAAAGAATTTGGACAACCCTCACATCATCAGAATGAACTTCACAAATACCCATATAAAGTCAGGCATGGTTGCCATGACTTCAATCTCAACACCTGGGATGCCGAAGCAGGACTTTGGAAAGTTCAAGGCCATGTTAGGCTAAAGAAGGACACGCACACACGTGTGTGCATATGTATATGTATACATACATATGTATGTAAAACCACAGGGCTAGAGTTTTTTTCTAGAGTAGAATACTTGTCTAGTATGTGACAAGACCTTAAATATCATCCCCAGCACTATAAAGAATAAACCAACACAGAATTAAAATAGAACCTAAGGTACTGGGATGTGGCTCAGAGACAGAGTTTGAGCCCAGCACAGGCAAGGCCTTGAGGCCAGTCTCAGTACCACCCTCCCAAAGGGCTGCAACCTGCACTATAGCAACCCAATCCTGGAGGGCGATTTAAATAGGAGACTGCAAGACACCGCAATTTCTCGGATATACCAGAGAAGGGAAGTCTGAAGCACTGTAATTTGTTAGAGTCATTAGCACCTACATGTAAATTAAGCAATCTCTCAGAAAGTAATTTTTAAAGGTCCCATTCTAAACTGACTGTGGTAGCACACACCTATAATTTCAGTCTGGAGACACAGGGGAAGACCATCACAAGTCTCAGACCAGCAAGACTACATAGCAAGAACCCACCTGTCCTAAGCATGTGAGCCACTAAAGCCGGTCTAAAGTGAAGAGGCTACTGTCCTGTTCATCTCTGTATGTGAAGCACTCTGATCTTCTGTAAACACAGTTCACAGAAGGAGCTGCTGAAGCCTCCATTGTTACATAAAAAGCCGTGTCACACCATGCCACACCAACCACACACTGAGCCTAAGCACAAGTGGGGCTAAAGATGAGGCAGCACTTCACTCTGGACTACTTACTTGAATAGAGAAAAAGCCGCTGTCATCCATATTTCCAGAAGGCTGCTGTTCAATTTTCATGGACAGTTGTGGGCAGAGGGGAATGGGAAAAGGATTAAAATTAGTGTGCACACTTAAAAGAACACGCTGTACAGTCCCATTTACCAAGTGAGGAGTAGAGTTATAATTAACAAGTCAGACTCCTGGGGGAGAATGGCTCATCCTCCTCTAAAGAGCACCCGCATTTCCAAAATAAAATGGGACTTAGTGAGTCTGAAATCAGTACCTGTAAAAATGTGCGGTAGTCTTCACTAGTGACCCCTCCTTCTGCCATTCTCAGCCTTTCCTCTTCATCGAGCTGGTGTGCGATTGAGGAGAGCTCCACAGGGCTAAAATACTCTCCTTGTAATAGGTTATTCAGGCAATGCTGAGCACAAAGCGAGCCTTCTTGCTAGTGTTGCCAAGAGAAAAAATTCAAATGTCATCAAGCGGATCTGTATGATATCTTCTAAAAAATGCAATTACTAACTTTTTAATGCAGTCAAAACCAATCTTGTAAGCCCTATGCAAACCTCATCTCACAAGTACGTGCATTTTCCTTGCCCATGTGTATTCTTTTTTTTTTTTTTTTTTCCTTCGAGACAGGGTTTCTCTGTGTAACCCTGGCTGTCCTGGAACTCACCCTGTAGACCAGGCTGGCCTCAAACTCAGAAATCTGCCTGCCTCTGCCTCCCAAGTGCTGGGATTAAAGGTGTGCACCACCACCGCCTGGCCGCCCATGTGTATTCTACAGCTACTTAACTATAGGGACAAAAACGAAGAATGATTTACAATATAATTCACCTATCCAATCTCATATAAGCCTAAATATTAACCTATAAAAACATTTAGCCTTTGAATTTTTCAGTACCTATTGGAATTTATCTTTGGAGATTCCACAGTAAATTACTACTGCCAAAAGAGAACATAAACCCCTAGAACATTCGTTCTTTTAACAAGATGGTTGCTATTTGACCTTAAAAGCCTGTCCTTTCAAATTCAAGAACTAGGTGAGAACAATTCTGTCTCATTGTAAGTTAAGGCCCACAGTTCTACAGCTGAGGCTCTCATCAGCCAACTCTGCAGGTTCCTTATAACATGGAGAAGAGAAAAACAGTCCCAAGCTGGGAAAGTCCATGTCCACGAGTGGACAAACTTGTAAGAGGAAGTGCAGGCAAGTTCAGCTCCCTAAGGGGTCATTAACATTCTCCTCATGAAGGGTAGGCACAATGCCCCATGGGCCAGAGGCTTCTTGCACAGGCTAGCTGACTTGCATATACAACTGGCACGCAGCCCGGCTCTATATCCAGACTGCCCAGCACTGGGCAGCTTGCTTGTCACTCTCCTGGATCAACAGAATTGCTTTCCTAAGCTATAGACAAAGAAGGGAGACACATGAGTAGATGAGTCCTGTGGACACAGACCCTAAGCCTGCCTTTCTGGAAGGCAAAGGCAGATGGGTGAACTCTTTCTTCTGTTAACTCTGGCCTTCTATATGGCCAAAGAGGCCTACTGAACTCAACCTGCCTGACAACATGCCTCCTGGTCTGAGCTATGTCACATGGCAAACGATAACTCCAAAGAGCACCTGCAAGATGCATTTCCCCCCTGATGAATCACTCCTAGAGGAACAAATGAAATTGCTGAAGTGAATACAGTACACATGTCTGCTAGGGAATAAGAAAGCAGAGTTCAGAGAATTTGAGTCTGACAGAGCTAGAACAACTCATCTTCAGAATTCTTTGCCTTTGCCTTGTTTTTCTTCTAATGTTGATCTACTTCCACTCAATACTGCCTACCAAGAGGTAAGGACAGACAGATGTTCTACTTGTATTCTAGTGGAAACGTAAATCATCTCATGAGATACTCGAGTAGCTAAAAGACACAAACAGATGCTCACATTCACTAGTCATCACGGAAATGTATATCAGAACCACAACACGGGGGAAGAGACGGCTCGGCTCAGAAGGTAATGGTGCCTGCTGTTAAGCCTCAAATACTACTGTAGAAAGAAAGAAAGAACTGACTCCTGAGTTCCCGTCCCGAGCCCCACCTGCACTCCTAGCCACATGTATGCCTGCACTCACATGCACGCCACACAAACAATAAATTTTAAATATTACACTTATTGATTGATTGGAGGGAATGCAGGATGATAGAGGACATCTTACAGAATTCAATTTTCTCCTTCTACAGTGTGTGTCCCAAGGATCCAACTCAAGATTACAAGGCTTGGCAGCAAGTGCCTTTACTTGTTGAGTTATCCTGTCAGCCCCTAAAAAATGTTTTTGTTGTTTTTGAGACAAAGTCTCACTTAGCAGCTCTGGCTAGCCTAGAACTCACTATGTAAACCAGGACAGCCTCAAATTCATAGAAATCTGTTTGCTTCTGACTCGGATTAGAGGTGTACATCACGGTAATGGCTATTCTTGGTTGTAAACTTGATTATATCTGGAATGGACTATAATCCAGAATTGCAGGGCTCACCTGTGATCCAGATCTTGAGGCTGAAAGACACAAGTTTCTGACCTGGATCTTGACATGGAGATTTTGGGGCATAGTGGCCATGAAAAGCTTAGGCCCAGGCAAGGTAGTACACATCTTTAATCCCAGGAGACTGAGGCAAGATCTCTGAGTTCAAGGTCAACCTGGGACAAACCAAGTCCCAGATCCAGGTGTAGTGGTACACACCTTAAACCTGGGCCACACCTTCTGCTGGAGGCCTACATAAAGACACTGGAACAAGGAAGATTCATTCTTCACCTGCTTGCACCTACTTGCCAGCACATCTGTTGGAATCCACCTCTGCAGAAGACTAGCTGAAACAACCAGCCTCGTGGGACTGAGCAAGTACTAGATTCTTGGACTTCCCATTCATAGCTGACCATTGTTGGGCTAGTTGGACTACAGACTGTAAGTCATCACAATAAATTCCCTTAATATAGAGACATTCCCTAAGTTCTGTGACTCCAGAGAACCCTGACTAATACAAACACCACACCTACCTAACAAAAAAAGTACTTTTACAAAAGCAACACTCACATGTTGTTACTATATGCAGTCTCCAGAACAGCTATTAAGTGGGAGGTTTAGAATGACAGAAAACCATTGTTACAGGAGTGGAGTAAGTATAAATTAGTGAAACCACCCTACAACAATCCTCAGCCACTACCAAAGCTTAACAGCTGTGTGCTGTGATTAGACACATACACTGCAAACATACTCACTAAAGCACTACTTAAAAGCTTTCCAAACTGGAAAGCACCCAAAGACAGCTTAGAACACAGAATTACATTAACATAAGGATGCTATATAAGAATAAAAGTAAATTAAATACAAGTAACTGTAACAATATGGACGAATCTCTCAAATACTGCTAAAAAGTAAACACACAAGACTCAAAAGAGCAGACACGAGAGCTAAGGATGTAGTCAGTCTGTACAAGGACCTGGGTTTAATCCCCAACACTGCCACCGCCAGTTAAAGACAAGACACAGTGCAGAATGGGACAGGTGAGAGAGCCTAGAGGACTGAGTCCTATCCCTGGAGCTGACTCAAAAGTGAAGAAAATTCCATAAAGTTTCCCTTTGATCTCTATACATATACACTGGTATGTGTGTCCACTCACAACATATATCACGCAGAGATACACAGTAATAAAAAATTTAAGTGCATGACATTTTTTTCTTTTTATTTTCTTTCCCTTCTCTGTGTAGACCAGGCTGGCCTCAAACTCAGAGATTCACCTGCCTCAGCCTCCCAAGTGCTGGGATTAAAGGCTTATATGGTTTTCTTACGAGAGCTTTAAATAGGGAAACTTAATTTCAGACTATGAAGTTAGATTGTCCTTGTAGAAGTAAGCACTGAGGAAGAGCTGGTTTCTGGAAGAAAGGATAAGGGATAAGGGATAGAGGATTCTAGGAAACAGTCTGTGACTTTACCTAAGGGCTGTTTCCATGTGTGCTCCCTTGACTGCATCTTCTCCTAATTTGTGTGTTCTTGTATATGAAATGAAATGTTTGACTTAAAACATTCAGATACGAGGGCCAGGCATGGCAGTAAACAACTTTAATCCCAGTACTCAGGACGCTGAGGCAGGTCTATACCAGTGAGTTCCTGGCCTGTTACCTACATAGTGAGACCTTGTCTCAAAAAGAAAAGAAATCAACAGATATCTAACAAAGTAACCAGACGCTCAATTTGGGGGAACAGTTATGACTCCTCATTCCTAAGCAATATGCTAAGTAATATGCTTCAATGTGGAGTTCATAAACTATGGTCAGCACGTTTTTAAAAGATATTTTTATGTGTATAGGTGTTTTGCTTGTATGTATGCCGGTGCCATGTACATGCCTGCTGTTCATGGAGGCCAAAAGAGGGTGTTAGACCGTCTGAGGCTGGAGTTGCAGACAGTCCAGTCGTAAGTCCTCCTAAGCGTGCTGGGGATCCTGGGTCCTCTGAAGAGCAGCAGCCAGTGTCATCATCACCAAGGACCCATTTCTAGCTCCTGGTCACCATGTTTAACATCCAGCAATAATGGCATCCAATTTTTTGATAAAACATTCTTGCTATTAAAAATTTGGATTTGGAGGCTGGAGAGATGGCTCAGGAGTTAAGAACACTTGATATTCTTGCAAAGGACCTAGGTTTGGTTCCCAGAATGTACAGGAGAGCTCACAACCAGCCAATAATTGAAGTTCTAAAGGATCTGGAGCCCTCTCCTGGCTTCCTCGGGCACTGTATGCGCATGGTGCACTTTGATTCTCGAAGGCACTCTTACACATAAAAATAATTAAATCTTTACAAAATCAAAAGTACCTATCTCATTATGCCCAGTTCATATGGTACTAGGGACAGATAAAACGTATGCTTTACTCATGCTAGGCAAGCACTCTACCGCATGTGCTACGTTCACAGTCTCTAAAACAAGTGGCTTTTTTATTATGAAAAATAAGCGCTTAAAATCAAACCATGACCAAGTAAAATGGTACTACCACAGGAAGTATGTTTTAAATTTCTAATATGATTAATGGAAGGAAACAACAAATTGTTCAAATCAATTTAAAAATCATATTGCCACAGACTGTCAAATTCTACACGAACCAAAAAACGTGTCTCCATCTCTCTCCACCTCTGGCTATGCATTTTTCTGTCTTATTGCCACCCCTCAAGTTAATCCTGTTAGCTCCTTTGTTTGCTTGTTTGTTTGTTTGTTTTTCAAGACAGGGTTTCTCTGTATAGCTCTGGCTGTCCTGGAACTCACTCTGCAGACCAGGCTGGCCTCAGAAAACCACCTGCCTCTGCCTCCCAAGTGCTGGGATTAAAGGCGTGCGCCACCACTGCCCAGCTCTTTCTAATCAAGGTTTAGCTCTTTCTAATCAAGGTTTTACCCCAACAGGGAACTGGCAAAATGGCTCAGCAGGAAAAGGTGCTTGCTGAGACCATGCAGACCCAAGTTCAATCCCCAGGACCCACACAGGGAGAGGAGAGGACCAACCCTCACTAAACTGTCCTTTGACTTCCACACGTACACTGTGGAATGCATGGAGCAACCCCCTACATGCATATGCAATAAAATATAATAAAACACTTTTGTATTTCACAAGAGGAAGAGAAACTCTCTTTGCTATTAAAATTCTACAATTTGGGGTCCATATTTTACTATGTTGGGCTCAGAAGTTGAACACACTACACTTCCACTCTACCAAGATAGTTACAAAATCACAAAAGGAAACCGCAACCAAGCCTGCTCGCTTCTGCCTCCCAAGTACTAGGATTAAAGGCGTGTGCTACCCTGCCTGGCTGACAACTGCTTTGATATTCTAACTTAATAGTAAGTATTCAAAGGGAAGTGGATGATGTCTTCTCTAGTTAATTTACTGGTTAAAGGGAAATTATGGAAGGGAAAAGAATTCTCTGGAAAACAGTAATTATGCTAAATATTCCCGGTATGGCCTCTTATATGACTAATAACCTAGAGCTACAGGTACATTCTCTTGAAATATGCTATGACTTCATTAAGCGTTGACTTGCTACATATATTTAAGTTGATGATAAAGGCAAATGTACTCTCCATGACTCGGGGGATGCCTCAAGACAGTAGGGTGCTTGCCATACTGGCTTTAGGATCTGAGTTTAATCCCCAGAACCCTCATTTAAAAAGCCATGCATGGTGGTACCCATTTATAACTAACTACAGCTCTGAGGAGGTCAAAATGGGCAGATTCCTGGAGGCCATAAATTAGCCTACTTATGAGGAACACCACCAAGGTTGTCCTCCTGCCTCTAAATACATATGCACATGTACACCCTACACACACACACACACACACACACACACACACACCACAACGGTAAAGATACTTCTCAAGCATTTATTAAGTATATACACCTGCTGATAACTGAATGACTTCTGGGTAAGCAGATATGTGTGTATCTGCGGATGCATGTTTGTATACATATATGTTCTCATACGTATGTGTACACGTAGATGTATACATACGTGTGCTAAAGGTCCAAGTCAGATGTCTTCCTCAGTTGCTCTCCACCTTATTTTTTGAGATAGTATCTCACTGAGCCTAGAGCTCACTGACTCAGCTAGACTGGCTGGTCGGCAACCAGAAACACACCTGGCTCCATTCCCTGCCTCAAGTACTGCGGGTACAAACACACCCTGGGATCTGAACTCAGGCTGTCAGGTTTACACAGCAAGCACTTACCAGCTGAGGCGTCTCCTCAGCCTGAGTAAGTTCTTGTTAGCCTAGCATTTTGAATACACTGGTTCAGTAGTTACCTTCACTGAAATCTGCTCAAATGAGGAACAATCAATACTGTCAAGAAGGTTTTGTGGGAGATGGAGAGACGGCTCAGCAGTTAAGAATACTGGTTGCTTTGCCAGAGGACCTAGGTTCAATTCCTAACATCCACGTGGCTACTTGCAAGCTTCTGTAACTCCAGTTCCAGGGGAATCTTCTGGCGTTAGTGGGCACTAGGAACACACAGTGCACAGACAGACACAATAGCAAACACCAAAACAATTTGTGTTTTGTTTGTTTGTTTTTCATGACAGTTTCACTGTATAGCACTGTCTGTCCTAAAACTCTCTGTAGACCAGGCTGGCCTTGAACTCACAAAAGATTCCCCTGCCTCTACCTCCCGAGTGCTAGGATTAAAGGTGAGTGCTAAAATTAAAGGCATACGACCACTGCCAGCCAAAAATAGTTTTTTTAAATGCATTGTTTAAATGTTCTACGTTAAGTTTCAATCCCAGGACAAGTGGCTGAGGTACCTATTTAACATACCAAACTGGACCTGGCTTCCAGGTCCTCCCAGCATCCCTCAGTTCTTACCTGTTGCAGGATATGGCTGGTATACCTGGCTCTCTACCCTGAACTCTCCAGATCATGGACTATGCTCCCCTAGTGGCCCGTGCCTATGTTATCCATACATTCTGGTTACCAGCCCTCTTTTGCATCCTTTTGCACCTTTGGCCTCCTGACTGCTGAACTTCGTTCCCCTCTCCCTGTGTAGCTGAGGGTCATGCCCACTCTGGACTCTACCAAATAAGTCTGCCCCTGGCTACTTTCTCCCACATCATTTTTTTTTTTGGATGATTTATTTACATTTCCTATGTTGTCCCCTTACCCCATCCCCCACCACCCCCTCGGAACCCCCAATCCCCTCGCCCCTCCTCCTTCTTCTCTGTGGATGTAACCTCTATCTACCCCCCCACTCCCACCTCCCCACCCTCAAAATTCCCACCCCCTGGGGCATCCAGCCTTCATGAGGTCAAGGTTCTCTTCTTCCACCTATGCCCAGCAGGGCCCTCCACTTTTACATATTCAGCTGAAGCCCTGGATCCCCCCCAAGTGCTCCCAGGCTGGTGGTTTAGACCCTGGGAGCTGCTCCCACATCATTTTAATAAACTCTCTCCTCCATCGTGCCTAGGAGAAGTCATGTCATTTCTATTTCTTTTTCCTTCACCCTAGAGATGACTCAGTGAGTAAAGGGGTTTGCTGTGATAGCCTGAGACACCTGGAACCCACACCAAGTTGGAAAGAGACTCTTCCTTGAACACCACACAAGCACATATACAAAATCAGTAACTTTTTTTTTTAAAGAATGCATGGCAGGAGTCTCATGAAACAGTGTATAAAGTGTTCAAAGTATAACATGTTTAAAATGGGTTTTATTCCAAAGCCTTTGTAAAATTAAAGTCATGGCACATGGTCATAATCTCAGACAGCACTCAGGAGGCAGAGACAGGAGGATGGAGAGTCTGGGGCCAGTTTGGACTACAAGAAATCTTGTCACACACTAACTTGTACCAGCTCCAAAACACTCAGAAATGTCTTCTTAAGAGCACTTCATTTAGCCGGGCGGTGATGGTGCACGCCTTTAATCCCAGCACTTGGGAGACTTGGGAGGCAAAGGCAGGTAGTTTCTGAGTTCATGGCCAGCCTGGTCTACAGAGTGAGTTCCAGGGCAGCCAGGACTACAGAGAGAAACCCTGTCTCGAAAAAAAAAAAAAAACAAAAAAAACAAAAAAAAAAAAAAAGCACTTCATTTAACAATTTCCTTTGATTTACATCATTTTTGTCTTTCTTTTAACGTACATGGACTTTAAACGCTTTAAATGCTCCAAGTGACAAAAACAAAGGCCCTTTGCGCCAACGAAATAATAGTCTCAGCTAGCAACCCTCTCCAAACCTAAAATGATTATGAAACACGGTATCATGCCAAAATTGTCCGAGGAACACCCAAATGACTTGATAATTGTATGTGAGCATAGACCAGTTTCTCAAGATGTCACAACAATACTTTTAAGCGTAGTCACTTAGGAATTAAGGTGAGGAAGAAAGACTAGCCAAATCACACAGTAGAAAGATTCTAATCTATCCATAATACCTAAAAACAAAGCTGGCCTCCTGGTCCGGAAAATTGGGAGAGCAACCCAAACATCCCGTAATAAAAACTCTTATGACGACTTCCCTTCGGGGTTTCCTACTTTACTTCCTAAGTGTCAGGCCCTTCACGGGGAGAGCCACGGTCACAACTGCAGAAGGACGTGGGATAGATCATCAAGATCTAAATGCATGGGACATTCCATTATAGAACTGAGTTGAGAGAGAAAGTTGGTTCTGCCAGAGGATAGGTTAGGGGGCGTGGGTGGAGTTAGGAAGGGTCCGGCAGGTGTGAAAAGGCGACTCGCTACACTAGACCCTAGGAGAGAAGATAGAAGAAAGCCGAAAAGGCGTGGCAAGGGAACAAGGCATCCCCGCGCTAATCCTCCGGGCGAAGCCCCCCGAAATGCCCAGGTTACCCGCCCGGTCTTCTAGGGCGAGGGTGCCGGGGACGCATGCGGGAGGCTTCACGAGCGGAGCCAAGGGGAGAAGGCAGGAAGCACCCCTCACCCAGCCAGGTCGGGATGGGGGCGTTCGGGCCCCGCCTGAGTTCCTGAAGTGGCGACGCTGCTCCCCACGCCCGCCGCCGAGCCGCGGACGGCTCCCCACCGAACGCCCACACTCACTTTCTCGTGGAAGATGGACTCCATGTTTATTTGTCTGGAGCCAACGGCCCCGGCGCGGAGCAGCCCCCTCCAGCAGCTCCGCCCCCGGCCCCACCCCTCCGCCCCGGCCCGCCCCGCCCTACCCACGTGCCTCCCGCCAACCAATCACTACTGCGGGCGCACGTCACGCGGCACGCGTGCCAGGGAGCACGGGACACGTGACCTGGGCGGCGCTGGTCCTCCCGCGGCGTGTGTGATGCTGCGGCGCCGCCTACTGTGCGGAGGAACTTCTCTACGCAGGACAATCTTGTGATTCTAGGGTTCTAGATGAGAATCCTCGCAGCCAGGTTTTAGGTTCTTTTTTTTTTTTTCCAATCTCAACCTTCATTGGTACTTACGGCTCAACTTCATGTAATACCTCCTCGCCCACTGAAAAACCTCATTCCAAAAAGGCATTCTCCCAATACCTAGTATTTGTGTAAAAACTATAGCTAATATTTAGTTAGGGCTGACTTACAATAGCCCGCTTCTAAGTGAAATTTAATACGGAATTTTTGATGTGCGTGTCTGATGTAATATACAAATGAAGAAATGGAGGCACGAAGAAATTAGAACAGCACAGAGTCCAACATAGTTGCCTGTTGGAATGAATACCAGGTCCCATGGTAAATGCTCAATCTCTGGATGAGGAAGTGGGGAAATGAAAAGTCCAACAAAATATTGAGTGTCTTGCGCCGGGGGTGGGGGGTGGGGGTGGGGGTGGGGGTGGGGAGGAGACTGACAAAGATTAAGCGCTGGTTGAGCGCAGATCTTGTATGGTGGAACCATTTTAGGTTCTTCAAAGTCAGCAAAGAAACTGGGTACAAAGGCTCATTCTCCTAATTCTTGCATCTGAAGGTAGAGGAATGCGTATACTGTGTTGGAGGACAGCTGGACTATGCCAGTCTGTAGCCACGGTTACATAGGACGATACTGCCCGCCACCTCCCCACCAAAAAAAAAAAAAAAAAAAAAAAAAAAAGCTACAGGAAGTTAAAGATTTTTTTTAAAACTAGAGACATAGGGTCAAATTAGGATTTTAGAGGATCACTGGTGAACAGAATGCTTGAAAGAAAGGCATTTGGGGAGAAATGAGACTATGGTGGTCAGGACTCCAGTAGTGATTTGAGAATGGAGAGAGACCACTTTGAAGTTTTAGGACACAGACTCAGACTTTGGTGGGGAACTGGGGTGGAATGGGGGTATTATTAGGAAAGACTTGTGGGTTTCCGCTGTAGGTACCAACTAAAGCAGAAGTGATACTCCAACGAGAAATGAGCAGAATGAGCAAGGACTGGGGAAGAGAAGACACAGGTTTAATTTTGGGAAGAGTGAGCTTAAATGTCTGTGCAACATAAAGGTGCTTTTGTCGAGTAATAGATGTCAGGCCTGGAGTTTACAGAGACTGTTTTGAGCTGTGTGGTGAGATTCGTTGCTATTTAGAAGGTAACTGAAGGGCTGGAGAGATGGTTAAGAGCATTTGCTGCTTCTCGTGTAGAGGACCTGGGTTTGATTCTCAGAATCCACATAGAGGCTCACAGCAGCTGGTAACCCCAGGTTCAGGGGATCTGTTGCTTCTGCAACATGCCTAGTATGCACAGTGCTGTGAATATATACATGTAGGCAAGCACTCATACACATAAAATATAAAGGAAAAAACAGAACAAAAGATAACTAAAATCATAAAGACTGAGTGTAATCTTAGAGAAAAGGGAGAGACTGAAAAGAGGATGGAGAATGCTGGTGAATGTTCTAACGTGGAAGACCCAGGAGACAATGCTGCCAGGAAGTCCAGGAGCATAAAAACTCACAAGAGACTGCTCTGTTTTGTTGTTGAAATCTTTTTTTGTGAGACAAGTTCAAGAAAAGAAGGGACGTGAGAGGCAAGAAAGTGAAGACTGCCAGCGAAGACCAGCTAGCTAATCAAAGGAGGTGTCTTATTATTTGTTGAATATTTTGTATGCAATTTCCTCTTGAGATAAAACAAGACATAGAGCTGTCCATATTGGAGGGAAGCTCTTTACCACACAGGATATTCTACAGGGAGATGAAATCCATCTTGCAAGGAAGCTAGTGAGATCATAGCATAGTCTAAGGTCAGGGAAAACATTTAGTCTTACAGAAGGGCATCTTTAACTCAGAAAGTAGACAACTGTGAGGCTTCTGGAAGTCCCTGAAACTGACAAGATTCACTAGGCTCCTCCTTCACCAAGCAGGTATAAACAGTAGGACTACTGAGAAACACCCTCCAACAAGCAGAGTTGCCTAAAAGAGGCTCACATCAACTGAACAGCCTGGAAGAAGCAGAGACCAGCCAAGCTGCCTGTAAGGGACGTTCACGCTGTTGAGCTGCCTGTAAGTTGTGTAATGTGATCCATGTTTCTAGCTTTCATGGGCTGTTGTCATACTGGAGTAGACTTTAGTGATGCAGTTGTCTTTGAGTAATCTCTGCTCCGTGAGTAAACTTAATAAAACTAATACCACCAAGTTGGACTTTAGTGGTATTCTTACTTTGGCCTGTCATCAATCACTTCAGTTCTCCGAGTAGATGCTTGTTCACAATTCCCCAGGAACAGTGTCACACAACATGGGAATATAAGGAATTGTGGCTTAACCAGGAAAATACAGCCTCCTAACAAGAAAATGCAAACAATGTTTTCTAGTGTTTTGTTTGTTTGGTTGTTTCGAGACAAGGTTTCTCTGTGTAGTTCTGGCTGTCCTGGAACTCAATCTGTAGACCAGGCTGGCCTCAGAAATGCGCCTGCCTCTGCCTCTCAAATGCTGGGATTAAAGGCGTGTGCCACCACTGCCCGGCTGCTAGTGTTTTTTAAAGATACAATTGTTCAAGTAAATGAAGCTGGGTTTCTGTGAATGCCTGTTTAAGACTTTTGGGTCTAAATGTAGGACTTTAGGGTCTCAGTTTTGAACTTAAGATTAAAAGAACCCCACTGTCCCAGGATACATCACAGGAGGGGCACATTCCTTAGTCAGAGGACACTTGCTGGATTAACATTCAGAGGAGGAAGGGAGAGGCTGATTAACATTCCTCAGACCACAGGGTGGGGAACCCACCTGTAGGTGAGGAGAGCCCAGAGCGTAGATACATTCCAGGAATCAGGAAGCTGAGCCCTTAATGTAATAAACCTGACACTCCTTGTCATAATCTGAGTCACCTAGGGACTGAACCTAGAAAAGTCTGACTTTGTGGTTTGCCCTCTTGAACTGTACTGTACCCATAAATACTGTACTCAGCTCTTGTTCAGGGCTCTCTCTCTTGTCTGCATGCGAGAGAGTCCTAGTGCACTAGTTTCATTAAACTGGACCTCATGTGATTGCTGATTGAGTCCTGTCCGTGTGCGTTTCTCTGGGAGCTCGTCCCCTGGTTTTGGATCTTAGAGTCCCAACACCTGCACTGGGTAAATTACCATCCGAGATTTAATGCTCAGTTATGGAGGCTGGGAAGTCCGACATGAAGTCTAGAGCAGACCAAATGTCTCAAGAGAGTTTTATTTTTTTTCATTGGTGTGCCTTTTGTGTGTCCGCATGTGGCAGAAGAGTGAAGAAGACAAACAAGCACCCTTCAGTCTCCTTTATAAGGACACACTTATTTAAAAGGTAACTGAAGGGCTGGAGAGAGGGCTCCATGGTTAAGAGCATGTGCTTCTCTTGTCGAGGAAAGCTCGACTCTCGTGACCAGGACACAGTCACATCCTCTTAATACTAATACACACTTCGACCTGCACTAGAGCTGGAGACTCATTTGTGATTTCCCTCCTGTACCTGTTACACTTTACCCTTCACTCTTTACATACTGTGTATCTGTCCCCCACACCCTCTCCTCTTGTTATATTGCCACTGCTAAGCTTAAACTACCTGGACTCTTGGGTAGTCCATCATTCTCCAGAACTACGAGTTGATCCCACCAGAATATGTCCAGTTCATGGCACTGTCAGTGACCGACCTTCCTTCCTTCCTCCCTTCCTTCCTTCCTTTCTTTCTTTCTTTCTCTTTTTTTTTTGTTTTTTTTTTGTTTGTTTGTTTGTTTGTTTTGTTTTTCGAGACAGGGTTTCTCTGTATAGCCCTGGCTGTCCTGGAACTCACTCTGTAGACCAGGCTAGCCTTGAACTCAGAAATCCACCTGCCTCTGCCTCCCAAGTGCTGGGATTAAAGGTGTGTACCACCACCCCCTGGCTTCTTCTTTCTTTTCATATAGGGTTTCTAAGGATATGTTGGCCTTGATCCTCCTATGGCAGCAAAGGGTGACTTTAAACTTTTTCACTTCTTTCCAATAGTGCTGGGATTACAGGTGTGGCCCACCATGCCTGACTTAAGTGGTGCTGGAAATGGGATCAAAGACTTCGTTTGTGTTAGGCAAGTTCTCTACTAACCAAGTCACACTCCATCCCCATCTCACCAAGTTAAAACTTAGATAAAGAGATATTCGCACATAATCACTTAAGTCTTAAATCATTTGAAGTCCAGTAGCTTCCCGAGGTGCTCTTTTCCTTATCACTGCCTTAAAACTGCCCTTCGTGATCTGGGCCGACCACACGTCCCTCTTTATCTTTCTGAATTCTTTTCTCCAGTCATGATAGCTTGCTTGCTTCTGGAAAAGTTGGGAGGGAAAGCAATGCTACCAGAACACCTTGTACACGTCTGGTTAAAGCATCCACTCTATGATACTATATGGAGAGCTTTGGATACAATTCTAGAAATGTGGCAGGAATTTGACCTTGGGCCAGGAACTGGAAGTGGGCTTCAGGCAGGAATTTGACCTTGGGCCAGGAACTGAAAGTGGGCTTCAGGCAGGAATTTGACCTTGGGCCAGGAACTGAAAGTGGGCTTCAGGCAGGAATTTGACCTTGGGCTAGGACATGAGTAAGCTCAGACAAGAATCTGATTTTGGGCTAGAACAAAGAAGTAAGCTTCAGGCAAGAATTTGACTTTGGGCTAGGACAAAGAAGTAGGTTCAGATATCTTGGTCATCCTGATAAGCTCCTAGAAAGATTGATCAGGAGAGTTTGTTTATTGCCTTGTTTGTTCCTCAACTATTTGTGTTTATTGCCTCCTTGTTCCTGAACCTAGAACTGAGCTTATTATTTTCAT